TGCCCTGCGGGTTTGACCCGCTGACATGTTTCGCATGTCTTAACGTACCGAGCGACCCACTTGTACATGTGGGTCCACCAGAAGGACTGAGAGACCGACAGAAAGGTCTTCTCGCGGCCTAAGTGGCCGCTGGAGGGCGCGTCATGCGCCTCCGCGAGGATGTCGAACTTTAGATCCTCGTCGTTGAGTACGACCGCTCGTGGAGGATCAGTTGGCTCCACCCGGTAATAGAGGAGGCCCTCCTTCAACTCATATCGGTGGAGCCGTGAGCGCTGTCGCAACGAGAGCCAGTCGGACTTCGCGCTCGTTCCGGCCATAAGGAACTTGACGATAGGCGCGACAGCCTCATCGTCCCGATACGCCATGCGTATCCGATCACATAGATCCGTTGTCACCCGCGTGATGTGGGCCAACTCATAGTCGGGACGCCGAGAGAGGGCGTCCGCAAGCACGTTGAGCTTGCCCGGCTTGTATTCGACGCGGAAGTTGTATTCCGCGAAGGAGGACAGCCACCTCGCCATCCTTTGGGAGAGGTGAGGCGAGTTAGTCGCCGTCCTCAAGGACGCGTGGTCTGTGTAGATCCCAAGGGCCTAGAGCCCAGAAGGTGAACACGGAACTTCACAAGGGCATATTTCATTGCCAGGAGCTCCTTGTCGTGGACAGGGTAGTTCCGCTCGGCGGCTTTGGGCTGCCTGGACTGGAACGAGTTGACTCGTTCGTGTCCAGCCGTGCCGGCCTGCAGCAATGCACATCCGATGGCGTAATCGGAGGCACCGCAGACGACGCTAAACGGCTTCGTCTCGTCCGGCAGGGCCAGGACAGGGGCCGCTTGGAGACTGGCCTTGATGCTGTCAAAAGCATCCTGGTGCTCTTGCTTCCAGCGCCAGTCGACGTCCTTCTGAAGGAGGTTGACAAGGGCTTAGCGAAGCCCGCGTACCCTGCGCTGTACTTGTGAAGGTAGTTGGCCAAGCCCAACCACTTTCGAAGATCCCTCTGGGATCGGGGCGTCGGCCATGCTGCTATGGCCTTGACCTTGTCTGGGTCAGCCCGAACGCCCACGTTGCTTACGAAGCAACCGAAAACTTTAATCTCTGGTGACGCGAAAACGCACTTGTCGATGTTGGCGTAGAGCTTGTTCGCTCGCATTACGTCCAACACTCGACGGAGGTGTCCTAGATGCACCTCCATGGCCGTCTTGCCTTCCTCGACACGGCTATGGACGAATATGTCGTCGAAGTACGTCTGTACGAAGGTACGCAAAAGGCGGAACAATTGCGTCACCAGGCGATTGAACGTCGCCGGGGCGTTAGACAAGCCCTGCGGCATGACGAGCCACTCCCAAAGCATGCCGCTTGGAGTGCTTACCGCGGTGAGCGGGATGTCGCTCTCTCGCATCAGGATTTGGTAGTATCCGTCTACCAAATCCAGCGCACTGTACAGTACGCTCCCGGCCATGTTGTTCAACAACACATCCTTTCGTGGGATTGGTGTTTGGGCCGGCACCGTTGCGTTGTTCAGCTTGTTATAAGCGTGAGCCAGACGCCACTTTCCGTTCGGCTTACGAACGCAGAAAGTCGGCGTCGAGTGCGGGGATTTCGACTCCCGCACCATGCCTGCCTTCGCTTTCGCGGCGAAGAAGGCATCAATGACCTCGCACTGTTCGCGCGGGAGAGGCCATTGCCTCGTGACACAATACTTTGTGCCGGGCACGAGATCAATCTCGTGCCGTACGCCTCGATCCGGTGAGAGCTGGGTCGGTGGGTGTTTGTTCACCACGTCCGCATACTCCGTCACCAAAGGATACACCGGATCCTTGGGGTTCTTGAGAATCTCAGAACCCAAGCGCGCCTGACGCTGCTTGTTCATATCTTCTAGGACGTTCTCGTCCAAGACAGAGGAGGAGTTCAGCTCCTCCTGAGTGGTCTCAGGTCACATAAGTACCATCTCAGCAATCTCTCCAGCCTTGAGGTTGGTCAGGAAAGACTCAGCCGTCATTTCCTCGAGGTGCAGTATCTCTGCAACATCTGGCAACGGTTCCAAGTGGACACCAGATGCCTTTACGAGTAAGCCGGTCTCGCCATCGAAGATGTGATAACACTCTTCCGCCGGCCTTGTCGGAGGAGCCCGGGCCCTGGACTCCGAGTCGCTTGAAGCGACGTCGATCAAATCGAAGTTCGGATCCGACTTGAGGCGGCGGCGGCGTCGCTGCCGACGGCGGCTGTGATGGGGAGCTCTGCTGCCCACGTTTAGGGATGTCGTCGCTACGACATCCGAGGCACTCGTGGCCTCGTGTGGTACTGTGGTACCCACACAGGAAGCGTGTTCAACGCCTTCCTCTTCAGTTAAGGTCTGGGCGACCGCGTGTGGCACTGTGTTACCCACACAGGAAGCGTGTTCAACGCCTTCCTCTTCAGTTAAGGTCTGGGCGACCGTGAGTGGAACTCTGTTACCCACTCTGAACACGCTGTTTTCAGTGTTCATGACAGCTGCAGCTGTCTGCGGAACTAAGTTACCCGCCTGTGGACCTAAGTTACCCACTTGGCCAGCGCCTTTTCTGGGCGCGGCCACCATCAAAACATCCTCGGAGTCGTCAAATACGTCGACGACTCCCAAGCACCTGCCGGATGCTTTGGTACCCTGGCAGCCCTTGCGGGCGTCCCGGGTCCTGACAGAGGTGGGAACATGACTCACCAATGTCCTATCGGACTGCGCAGGGCGGCTGGCACCGATTGACTTGCCTCACCAGTCGATCCAGGGCTCGTGCTGCTCAAGCCAGGGCATGCCCAGGATCATATCAAAAGGATCCATATCGAGCACAGTGAACTGTTCGAGGCTGTCAAAGTCTTCAAACTTGACGGCCAGATCCACTTGGACGTTGGAGACAGTGACGACCTTCCCGTCGGCCAGTCGCACTGACACCGTCCCGTTGCCCTTGCTTTCTCTCAAAGCATCGGACAACTTGTTGCTGTTACGAGCAACCGTCTGGCGGCGTGCGAAATTCTTCGACGCCCCAGAGTCGATCAAGATTCTAAAGGGATGATCGTATCCCCGTACACATCCGTGTACTACGAGCAACCCGCCGCTGCTCTTCGCCGATTCGAGAGTGCGAAGACTCTCAGGGGCTAAGTCCTCGTGGTACGCGCCACCTGCGCACCCATCACGAAGACTTAGTTCTTCCCCAGTAGGGCGCCCCGCCCCTACTGGTTCCCGGCGTTCCCCTGTCCCCGGGATCCTGGATTCTGCCAGCGACCCTTGAGGACGGGCTTGGGGAAGGACCGTCTGCGGAGTCTTTCCGCGGGACAGTCGCGCTTAAAGTGGCCCATATTTCCACAGCCGAAGCAGCGGATGTCACGCTGTTCGGCGGACCTGAGTTCCATGGGAACTGGTCCGTTGGGGCTTGTTCGACCGGGAGCCGACAAGGAACTCCCAGGCCACGCTGAGGCCGGCGTACGCGCCTGGCGATGGCTGTACTCTTCTTGAAGAGCCACTTGAATCGCCTCTTCAAGGGTGCTTGACTGCACCCGGAACAGCTGAGTGCGTGCGGGGCCCACTCGAAGGCCGTCCATGAGCACAGTCATCTTGATGTGTTCGCTGAGTGGGTTTCCCACTAGGGACGCCGTGAGCTCCCGTATCTCTTGCACATACTCGTGCAGCTCGCGCCTTCCTTGTTTACACGCGAGGAAGCGCGAACGCTGGCGGTACTCGTAGTTCGCCGGGAGGAACGCGGCTCGAAGCTGTTCGCACAGCTGAGCACAGGATGTGAAACATCCAGGGGAGGTTGCTTCCCGTGTGTACACCCAACTCTTAGCACGGCCGCTAAGGTTGGAGAGTGCAAAAGCAACACGCAGTTGCTCGGTCGAGATCAGAGCCGCGTCCATCGCGAGCTCTACTTCTCGGACCCAGAAGTGAAGGTTCTCGCCTTCCTTCCCTTCATACGGCTTAGCCTTCAGCCGTATTGGCTTCGGGTGAGGCGGATTTGCTTCCGCCGCCGGAGCCTGCAGGTTCTCCCGCACATGCGCGATGAGGCCCTGCTCGTACGCGTCGAATGCATTGACGCGCTCGAGCTGCTCAGCCGGTGTTGACACCACCAGGCTCTGCAGGGCTTCCATCCCGAAGATGCCAGTCATCTTCCGAACCGACTCGAACTGAGAGTCGTTCATATGGGAGAAGTCGTTCCTATCCATGGCAACGAACTTCGGAGAGGTTCAGGCAGTCTACCCGCGGTGGCGTGGATTGACTACAAGTGCTACCAAGTGTGACGGGGTCACACAGCACCTTGCGCTAGAGGAAGTTATCTTCCGAGAGTATACAAACTCTCAGTGAACGGCAGTTCACAGGTCCCCTCTTTAGTTAAAGAGAGCGAAGTGACCCAAATAAGGTAGATTGTAAACTGAGTATATTTATAGGTAGGTTAAGTTTGGGTTTAATATAAACTATAAGTTACCTATAGAAATGCAATCTGTGAACGACCTTGGTACCTTGTACCAAATATCCCGGAGTATGACGTGTCATACTCCTGAAGTGTGAAGTGTCACACTTCATGTAACCAGGGTACACTTAGGGCTACGTACCCCGTTACAAGATCCATGGCACGACTGCGTAGAAAGGGCCGATTACGGTCGTTGGAGCAATAAAATACTGTGCGATGAGCAGACGATTTAAAATTACCCCCCCCAACCTCTTTCTATTCACTCTGCGCGTATGGTAGCTATGAAACACGGTAGGCAGAGTTGGAGGAAAAGCTAAAAGGGCGCAAAATTTGCCCTTTTACAAGCCCATTTTCCACCTTGTTTTGGTAATGGTGCTAAAGGGCGAAAAATGCACCGCGAAAGGGTTAAAATGGACGCTGGTTTATCCCAAGATAGAGGGAAGTCGGTTTCAGACTCCTAGACAGTGGGGGTACTGTGTCAGTGAGGAACGACACAAAACTGGAGGGTATACGGTCACCTGGACTAGAAGAATCTGCATGGTAGAGCATTAACCAGGTCAATAGAGAAAGCATGAGCATGATCAGCGGGTATACAGTGAGGCGGGTGGAGGGTAATAGTGTTTTATCCCAAGGCCGACCACGATCAATGATCGGTGCGTCAGCTGGTCGGCGAGCATCCCAGCAAGGCACTGATGCACTTTCACTGGAGAATCGAGACAAACTGTTGCTGAATGAAGAGACTACGGACGCTTTTGACCCAAGTTGTCTAGTCATCAAGGCGTGGGAACACATTCTCCTACTTTGTTTGCTCTACGAAGGATTCGTCGTTCCGTATTTTCTCGCATTCCAACCAGAAGCAGTTGGCGGAATGAATTTGAAATTTGCGCTAGCCGTCGTGTGCGAAGTGATGTTCTTTATTGACTGCTACGTACAAGCAAGTACAGGATACTATGAAGACGGGAACCTCATTCGCGACAAGAAATTAACCCGAAGACGATATTTCCGCTCGTACCGTTTTGCTATCGACCTGGTAGCAATCTTACCGTGGCAAGTCTGCGCGCTTCACAGCCCATATGTATTGACAAGGCTCTCGTTACTTAAGTATGCGCGATGTTGGCGGCTCAACCAGTTCGTGACGAGTCTGGACGAGTTGTATGCAAAATATTTCGTCACGCTAAAACTGTTTAAAGTTTTGCTATCCATGGTATACATGGCACACATGTTGGCATGTATCCGCTACAGTTTCGGCTACAATAAGCACCATACAAACCACTGGCTGCCGTCGGATGAGGAAAGTCACCACCCTCTCCACACTCAGTACTTGGGCTCGCTCTTCTGGAGTGTCGGCATCATGACTGGCCTCTTCGAAGGAGAATTACCGCGCCACAGCAGCGAGTTCCTTTTTACGACTTTGGTTGCACTGTGCGGGTTTTCCATGTTCACTACTCTCGTCGCTACGATTTTCGTCATTTCCAAGTGCGAAAGTGGGCATTCGGAAGCGGTGGAAGCTCGGATCAACCAGCTCATTCACCTTCTCTCCTTTCATCGAGTTCCAGAAAGTCAACAAGCACAAGCGATTGAGTATCTTCGAGTTTGTAAACTGTTTTTCATGCATTTTTTCTTGTAGATTTTCTAATTTTTCCCTGTCATTTCCTGCAGCGCTACTACACGGACGCAGAGTCGAATGATCGAGAAGCAGCGAAAAGACTGTGCCGATCTATTGCAAACGACATCCAAGTGGAGCTTCTGAAGACAACTTTCGCCCAGATTCCGATTTTTGACGGTTGTTCTGATCTCTTCATTGTCGCAATGACGAGTTTGCTGGAAATGATCGCGGTGCCTGCGCAAACGATTTTATTCTCTGCAGGCGACGACGGCGATGCCATGTATATCGTTCACTCGGGAGTGCTCGCAGTCATTATCAAGTCTGTGACGGTACGCGAAATCCGTAAAGGCGCTTGCTTCGGAGAGCTCTCGGTCTTCTCATCTATCAAACGGACTGCGGCGGTCTTGTCGACGACGTATTCAATTTTGTACAAACTGTCCCGGTTCCATTGCGATAGAGTTCTCGACGGGTATCCGGATTGTGCTGCTTTGATCGCAGCGCATGTCGAATCGACCTTGAACCACATGCACGGCACCAATAACTACGTTCTCAACACTATTATCTCCCCGAGGGGCTCTGAGAGTATTAAGATTAATAAGCGGAGTTCGTCAATTTCGGCTGGAATTTCGGCAGGGACGTCAGCACTAACAAGTACCCTAACGAGGGTGCTGACGATAAATGGGGAACTGAGTGCGAGGGCTTCCACTAGAAAAAGTCTAACAGAAAACCCAACACCCGGGAAGAAGCGAAGTCTCGTTGTTCCGACACAAGTAGATCCTCCAGACTCCCAGTCTCCCAGTCTCCCAGTTGACAAGCGACGTGGTAAGTGGAGGTACATTCTACGAAACAAGTGCATCGATCACCATTCAAACGTTCGTTTGTGGTGGCTATTGCTGCTCCAAGTGAGTATTTGCCACTCGTGGATTATGATCCCTGTCCAGATTGTTTTTCCGCTGTGGCAACAACCATCATGGCTGACACAGGCGATGGATACTATTCTCAATATCGGCCTTCTCATCGACATACTTCTGAACTTCAGTCTGTCGTTTACGGTCGACTCGGAGAAGATTATGAACCCGATGCGGAGCGCCACAAAATACTTTGAAGGCCCCTTTCTCTTTGATTTATTGTGTGCTTTTCCGTACGAGTATTTCCACATGGCGCACTATGGACTCATGCGACTTCCGCGTCTTCTTCGTATATTTCACGCGAAACAACACTTGAGCGAGTTGGAGCATTTCTTTCCTGCTAACAACACGCGACAGCTTCTCCTGCTTGGTGCACTGTTGACCATGATGTTTCATATCGTGGCCTGTATCCACTTCACTATCTCGTATATAGAGGGGTTTAACCCGAACGAAGCAGAGGCGTGGATCTCGTCCACCAAACTGTGTCTTCGGAGACTAAATTCGACTCATTTGGAGAACTGTGACGGCAAACTATTCAACGAACGTGTCGATCTAGACCAACTCCGCAACATCAGCGCTATGGAGTACTCCCGCTCACTGTATTATGCTGTGGGAGTGCTGGCTTCGCCAGGAAAAAGTGTCGAGCCTATCAGTGATGTCCAGCTGGTCGCAGCGCTGATTCTAATGCTGAGTGGCTTTTTGATCACAGCAATTGTGGTAGATAACGTACAGAAGCGCTTCACTGCCTCTGCTTTCGAGCAGAAAGAGTTCTTCGCGACGAGGACTCGAATTCAACTCTTTTTACGCCGTCAAAACGCTCCACTAGCGATTCATCATCGAGTAAAGTCATTCTTAGACTATTGGTGGTCCTCCCACCGCGGTGCTGTCATTGGTGAGCTGTTAGCTGATCTGCCACGACCAATTCGCCTTGATGTTCTACGTAGCATTTGCCTACCAGTCTTACAGACGCTCGCGTTACTTCAAGGAGTACGCCCAGTTCGGGATAAACTCGAGGAATTCATGGTGGAAAACGTCAAGTTTATACTCTACGGACAAGGCGAGATCGTGTATCGTCACGGAGACTATGTTACTGGAATGTTTTTCTTGTTAATGGGAGAAGTGTGTGTAATTACAGTGGGTAGACCACCGCGAGAAGTGCCTCTAGGGGGGTTCTTTGGCACAGCAGCACTTACCCAACAAGAACGTGGCGAGGGGTATACGGAGCATGTGAGTGCGAGTAGTGGCTGTATCCTACTGTTCGTATCACGAGACCAACTTCACGCTATGGAAACTATTTTTTCTCCTTTAAAGACAGAGCTTCTCACTCTTGAGCAGAGAGTTCTGAACAACAAGTTGGCCAAATCGGCTGTAAGCAAGGGGGCTCAGCGACGTTTACGGCGTCAATCCACAGTTATCAGAATTCGCAATGCTGTATTTGGCTCCTTAAAACACCACGATACAGTATACGACCCCGACTCACCGTTTATCCTAGCGTGGGAGACGTGGGTCTTTGCTGTGATGACTGCGCAGTGGCTACTGGTAATCTTTCAGGCTTGCTTCCCCTTGGAAGAAGCGAACCGAAATGTTGACATGGTCATGGTGTTTATGGAATGTTCCTTCGTCGTTGACGTTTACATTCGATCGCGACTAGGACTCCACGAATACGGCAACAAAATGATGGACCGTCAACGTATCAAACGTTTGTACTTTAGGTCGGGGGCTTTTGCGGTGGATATCGTGGCGCTTCTGCCTCTGTATCTCATCAACTGGAGTGTGCCGCCGCATGAGCGATGGGATCTACTCAACGTCAACAAATTATTGCGAATATTCAAAGTTCCACGACAGCTTCACGCGCTGGAGACACGGTACCTCAAGCGTACTACGGAGCTACGTTTATCTAAGCTGCTGTACTATACGTTCATGCTATCCCATGTCTTCGGCTGCATTTGGTTCAACTTTGCCTCCAAAGTGGCTGTACCAAATTTCACGAACGAATTGCTGCCTATTATTAAGAAAACTGCGTTCGGAGAGAACCACTGGCTACCTCACAAGCACTTGGAGCATGCTCCGCATATTTTACAATATATGGCTTCACTCTACTGGTCATTTGGACTCATGTCAGCGTCAAGCGAGCCCGAGTTCCCGAAAACCACAGCGCAGTGTATCTTCAGTGCTATAACCATGACGACGGGCTTCTTTCTCTTCGCCTACGTGATCGGTAATTTCACAGATATCATCGAGCTCACGACCTCGGAAACCAGGGAATTCAACGCCAAGATGGGGGCTGTTCGGCAGATGCTCAACCATTTCCAACTCCCTGACGCTCTTCAAGAACGGCTGAAAACTTTCGTCCTGTTCAAACGTTTCCATACAATCACGCAGGAACACCTTCTTGTTCATTGCCTGCCACCGTCGTTACTTACGGACATCCGTCTTGTTCATCTGAAGCGTATGATTGAGCGAGTGGAATTTCTAAGTGGCATGGAGGGATCTGTCACTCGAATGCTGGTCTCTCAATTCACACAAGTGCTAGTGTCTCGTGGAGAATTCGTCTGTACACTGGGATCCAAGAGCAGCGATATGTATTTTGTTTTCACGGGAGTCTTAGACGTCCTGCTACCTCTGCACGCGATTGCCACAGCCACAAAGGCAGATGTGACCATGCAGAAGAAAGGGTCTGATAAGGTGCAAAGTGGAGCACCGGCAAAGTTGTGGCGTCTTGGAGTTCGTCAGACTTCTCGAGCTGCAGTTCAGAAAAGTAGCAGGATTAATACTACTGAACAACTGAAGAAAGTGAACGAGATCTCGGCTGGCAGCTACTTTGGAGAAAACGGACTCTTCACCAATGGCAGACGTGATGACTATATTCAAGCCCAGACGTCTTGTATTCTGTATAAACTCTCTCGCGAATCGTTGGAGCTCGTGTTTGATCGATACCCGGAGTGGAAGGACAAAGTCACGAGAATTGTGAATATCCATCGCGAACAAAACAGACTTTTGCAGCTTTCTCGAGAGGAGCAGCGTCGAGGAACGGATGCCACTACTGGTTTAATGTTATCTCGGGCAGACATTATGAACGAGCGAGCCGACCGCATCAAGGACGAACTTCAGCACGTGCGTTTGCAGCACGGGGGGAGTGGCAGTGGTGGCTTCGTGACGGATACACGTCGAGTCGTTCTCGAGTTGTTAAATCGATTCGTTGTGACGCCATTCTATTGTCTTGTGGAGGGAACCGAAGTGCAGAGCAGTTTCCATCTGTCGTGGCTTCGGTTCATGGTGGTTTGCATCGTGTACGTCTCCATTTTGACGCCATATCAAGTGGCCATGGACAATCTAGACCGCTTCACTCCAATGGCGATCGTAATGAGAGCTTTTGGGCTACTGTGCGAACTCGTCTTCATTCTCGATGTGTGGTTTTGCTACCACGTTAGGGAATGCCCAGCATCCATGGAGCTATACGAAGGCGATTTACGAGCCACGTACAAGAAAGAGCGCATGCTATGGGATACCATCGCTGCCATCCCTTTCTATCGCTTCCTCTCGGATTTCCACTGTCGCTCGTGGTTGAAATTACTGCGCTGTCTTAAGATCCTCAACGTCGTGAATTATATGGATGAGCTCAATCGACGCAGTGTCACGTACGAGATCACTCGCTTTTGGTACATTTGTCTGCTGTACTTGCTCATGATTTACTGGGCAGCGTGTGCCTATTTAGCTGTGGCTACTGAAGTGGGTTTTGGCACCGAATGGGATGCCTGGCTGCCGTCTCGAGAGCTGGTTATCACGAATCCCGAGGACCCTTCGCCTTCCCAGTTAGCCCTCCGCTTCCTACGTGGCCTCTTCTTCGCCACCACGACATTCGTCAAGAAAGCTCGAAATCTCGCTCCAGATACAGCAGCCCTGTACGCCTTCCACATCGCCGTCTCGTTCGTCGGGCTCATTACCATGTCATTCGTGCTTGGAGAGCTCGCAAGTCTCTTCATTTCGTACATCGGTCTGGAGGTGGATTTCCGTAAAAACCACATTGCCATTGAGATTTATCTGGATCGCTTGCGTGTCAGCGATCGCCTGAAAGCTCGAGCACACGCCTTCATGACTTCTTTGTGGTCGTCACATGCTGGCGTCGACTACGAAGAAATTCTGAGTGAAATGCCTCGATCCATCCGGACAGCTTGTGTCCTTCATGTGTCCAAAGAACCTGTGCACTGGTTCATCAAGAAGGTAGTCGCGCCGATGTGTTGGGAGGGATCTGATGAGCTTGAACTGTTCCGACACAGCTTAGTGGAACACTTACACTTCGAAGGATACCCGTCCGACGAGTGCATCGTTGTCGAAGGCAACATAGCGCGAGCGATGTACTTTGTGCTGCGAGGACATGTTCAAGCGCACAGCCGGACTTTACGCGCCCTTCAACATCCAATTGGTCTTCGTCGTGGCGACTACTTCGGTGAACGGGGTCTTCTCGGTAGCGCCATCAGTGTCTACACTGTTCAAAGTGTACGAGCTTGTAACCTGCTCTCGCTGAGCTCTGAAGCTCTCGTTCAAGTCATGGGCCGGTACAAGTTCTCGTACTTGGGGCTGAGGATTTGCGAATGCGCCTATGAACTTCTCAAGAAAAAGAACCTCGTCGCTTGCTCCAGAATGGAAATGGAGGAACACTGGGGGTCGGCACTGCTGGAGATTGTGGACGACCTGCGACAAAGATGCCAGCAATGCATTGGAGTTGGAGCAGCCGCGAGTGTGGCAGATCGATTATCGTCACGAGTCCGTAGCGACGATACGCTTCCGAGTGCCCGGTTAGTGACAGGGTCGCTGACAGACCCGATAACTTGTCGACTGGAAAGCGTCAAGGAGACTAGCGATTGTGCAAGCGACATGGTCAGATCTGACCCGGAGATTCAGCCGGATGGATTGCCGAAGAACGTGGATAAGATGTTCGACGCGTTGACTACCACCACAGACTGCTACAAGGCCTTCTCACCGCTGCTGCAGATTCTGATGCCGAGTGATCCCCTCGACTGGAAGGCTAGTCGCCGCCGTGACAATACGGCGTTTCACGGAGGGAATAAGGTGGCACCAGTGACACTGGGCACAGGGGCTTGGCTCAGCAACAGGCATCTTGAAGCCCTCGCCAAGACAAGCCAAGCTAACGAGGTGGACGCAGACGACGTTCGTCCTGTAAATCTTCAGCAAGAGCAGGATAGTAAATCTCTCGAGACAACTCCTGGTGGGTCCGCTCAAGCAGCTTCACTCGTCTCGCGCATTCGTGGCGTCAGCGCTGCAGCGGAGAAGTCAAAACCACGCGAAAAGTAGAAAACTTGAGCATACAAAGCGCGAACAAGAAGTCGAGAAACGCGTTGGCCTTCGACAACGAGAATACAATCAACCACAATCAACCCTCCAGCTCACGTGCTCCGTAAACGCCCCACAGGTACGCCCCCCCCCCTCTCCCCATGTTTCCTTTTGAGCTTTTAAGTCATGCAAACCTTGTGCTTATCTTGTATTTGTAGGCGATCTGACGTATTCCTCAAGCAAGTTCAGATTGTTGGAGGATGCAGCAGACACAGAGTCACTGGAGTAACACAACGTAACTATGACGTCGTGCACAGCGTATGGTAAACAATATTGCATAAATATTAGTAGTACGTAAGTAGGTACTTACTTACAAGTAAAGTTGGTGCGTTGCCAGCAGCGTAAACTACCCAAACAGCGCGAACAGTGGTGCGGCAGCATTGCTCTCCCATCTCAGCAGCGCCATAGCGATCTGGTACTTCCAGATCGTGGCATGTTTGGCGCTTCGACTGTTGAGCAGATTGCCGCCAAATGTTACGTCGCAGCCCCGCTCAGGTGGCCTGGGTGGGCCGATAATACCTGCCGGGTCAGTCTCCTTGACTGGCGGGTCCGTGATCAAGAGCCAGTAAAACATCTCCATCCACTGCACATTCGGGTCGTCGTCGTCCTCGACGCGCACAGCGGGGTTGTGCGACCGGAAGCAAATGAGGTAGCCATTTGGCAGCCGGATGCGAAAGAGGAGGAAGACAGTGCGGAAGATCGGAGCCGAGCTTCCTTCCTGGAGATCTCGTCGTATCAAGAGCGTATTGTCGTTGATTCTCTGCAGGATCTCGAGCTTCTGTACGGACGAGTAGATGCCGTGGTAGAGTCCAAAGTCGCAGTACATTTCCCAGCTCTTGTGCACCAGTTCCTCCGTGCCGATTGTGTCGATCCTCTTTGTAAAGTTAAATTGCACTCGACCGTCCGCCGTGATACGCTGGTGCTGAGTCCAGCCCATGGTCTTCTCCTCCTCTCCAGTCTCGACTCTCTGCATCGTCTCAAAGAAAGATGTCGCCTGTCTGTGCGAGTCAATCATAATGTCTCTGGCTTCTGCCACCGTCAGCCTATGGAAGTGGATCGTGCCGATGGACGTCCGTATGCCAACTTGTCTGGGGATCTGGAAATCGTCCTGTAGTCTCTGCAGCTGCTCGCCCAGTGCATCGTAGATAAGGAACTGGTCTTTGAGCTCCGAGTTCTCTCGACGGAGTCCGCGCACTTCGTAGATGGAATGCACAAACTTTTTAAACAAAACGTCCCGCAGACTGCGCTCATCGAAGTGCATCCAGTCGTTCTCTCTCCTGTACGTGGCCAACATGTTGTCGAGTTCTTTCTCGAGCTCGTCGTTCACCTGGCGCAAACCCTTGCGTTCATTCTGAGGTCCAGAAATTAAGCTGTCAAATACAGTTTAAGTAACAGGATAAACCAGCCGCACCCACCTTCTTCCGCACACGCGACTGGCGCACTATCTCGCAGTGCTTGAGCCGCCTAAACTCGGCTTTGGCCATGCGGCGCTTGGTGTCTGACGGCAGGTCGGGCGTCAGCTCCACGATTCGGCGCTCCACGTCGTCTAGCGTCACTCGCTGTTTAACAGAAGGCTTATTAGGCCTCGTGACCAGATCGAGCGTCGTCTTCGTCGCGGTGGGGGGAGGAGAAGCGGGCGACGCGTCCAGCGAGTTTAAATGCGCGTCAGGCGGCGGCATGAGCGGCGGCAGGTGGATCGGCATGGCCTTACTGAAGGCAAATCTGCTTGTTATGCTGTCGTTTACAGCGTATCGGTAATAGTGTGTACGGTTTGTGTGCTAATGGTCGGACGGTAATAGAGACAATGCAAGCATCAAATATGTCGCCTCCAACCGACACTTCAATGTACGACAAGCAATTGGCCTGGAAGCAGCACGGCCAGCGCAAGGTGATGACAAATTCAAGTGGCTGCACAGTACCGGAATGAGTGGCTGACCATGCAAGGCGATGCAGCTGGCGAGCAGGTCGCACGAACTTCGAGCGCAGCAAGAGCACGAGTGCACGTTTTCGCCAAAGGTTATAGAGTCATTATGCTTGCAGAACTAAATAATGGGGAGCTAACTTACCTAATTGTTCTGCACTTAAAAGATCAATTCACGGTCGATGTGGCCGGACGGTGAGGATACGCAGGTGATTCCAGCTACTGCTGCGGAGACGGAGGCCGCGCTTCTGCACCCGACCGAGTCTCAAGAGACTTCGATTCACACGCACCTGGCTCGACAGGGGAAAGCTCGGGAACAGGCCCAAGAAGCGCAGCAGAAGTGCGTCAAACTGGTATTTTGGTTCTGAAGAATCTGGCTGACGCAATTTTATCTGAGTGCAGGCTGAACGGATTGCAGCAGGTTAAGGATTACACTAAGGTTACGGTGGAGCCTTTTGCACTCAGCTCGACGAATTGGGTGAGTCGGTGACACTAGCGTCGTTTGTTGGTTTGACACTTTGGATAAGGAAGATGGTGTGCAGAAACCACGACAAAGCACCATCGAGTCGCCAGAAGTGGACGAGCGACCAGCAAAGCACTCGATCAGTAAGGGAGGCAAGCTCAAGGCCAAGGGTCATACTCCACGAGGGTCCACCAAGTCACCCCACGCGTCATGTGGTGCAGCCACAACAGTAAAAGAAGACGAAGCTTGGGAAAGGTGTGTGCTGTTTTTGTTTGCCTGCTCAATACGAGCCAAATCTTTGACGTGTATGTGTTCAACCTTGAAGTGAGCGGGCGACCCTGATTTCCATCATCGACGCTCAGCGACGTGAACTGGCACAGCGAGAGCAAGCGCAGCAGGAGGCTGTGCGTGTGGCCGAGCGATTTGCAACAGCTACTCAGGCCTTCGAGGAGCGGCTGGTGGCTGTAGAACAGTCTTCGACCAAGGAACTGGAAGAGGTCAGACGTCTCCTTGCAAGTCAAGCTGCAGCTACCGATCTCATCCTCACCTCGCTAGGCATCGCTCGACGTCCAGGCTCCAGCATTAGCCTTTCCCGTTACGACTGAGCCTTTTGCCCACTCACGCATTGACAACGACCACTGTTCTAAGCACCGAGAAAGTAGGACACACCAGCGATTTGTGTGCACGCCACAGCTCACCCCACATGTACTTTAGTAAGTACTACACACAGGCGAGTGGAGTCCATTGATTATATAGCAAATAATACAGCACCAACCTCGCAACCTTCTGGTAAGCAACAGCACCGCTACTCACGTTGCCGTCCTTCCTTCTCTGATACGCTGCGCTGTGCCTGAAACCGGGCTCGGTTAAATGAAGCAGCCTGCTGATCACCATGACGACGGCGGCAGAGTGAAGATGGGGCCGACCATCATGCTTTCCCACTTGAATACAATCGACAGCGTGTTCATGGCGAGCGTGGCGACCGACTCGTGGTCTCCGTAGTCCATGCAGCCACCGTACTCGATCTGTGCTCCTTCCCCATCCGCAGTAGGCTCAAAAAAGAACCAGCCTCCTAACTCTGTCCAGTGCACGGGCTCCCCGTCTCTGCTGACGGAGCTCAGTGTCGGGTCGGTAAGACGTCCGGGTGCCACCGATTGCACGCAGATGAGAAAGCCCTTCCGAGTGCGCACGCGAAACAATAAATACACGCATCGATAAAGCTTTGCGCCGTCCTCGCTCCTGGACTCGCGCATAGCCACGATCGTGTCATCATCCACGCGCTGTAGGATGCGGAGCGTCATGAGGCCGCGGAACTTAGTCTCTGTGCACTCCGGGTCCGAGAAGCACTGCCATGTGCTCGTCATCAGCTGCAGCGCATTCTGTCCAGGAAATCCCTTGCGTAACGAAAATTTGAGGCTCGTTCCGTCCAGCAAGCGTTTGTCCTCCCAACCCATGATGCACGCTCCTGTGCTGACAGCCTGGCCGTTCAGCGAGAAGGACAGAATGCAGCGGTACATCTCGTTCACGAGTGCGGAGGACTCGCTGAAGCTCAGCGGTTTGTAGCCCAGTTGCTTCCTCATGGCCACCGACAGCGGCGTCTTCTCTGTGATGGTCGGTCCCACAAGTGTCGGGCGTGGCTCGTTGTAGAACGGGGTCTTGGTCTTCTGTGTAATGTCCAACGGAGACACGTCGCATCCATTCCCACGCATCGCCAGCGGCGAATTTGCATCGAAACACATAGATGACGACGACGGGGACGTGGCGAGTATTGAGGCAGTTGAGGACGTCGTGGCTGTATCTGAGTCGGTGTCTGACTGGTCCGAGTCGTCCGAGGAGATAGAGGCTGCTCTCTGGGCCAGTACCACCATGTTGCTGGCAAATTGTTGTCTGTAGTTGAGCAGTAGTCGGAGTCGTGCGGCCTCGTTGCCCAATTCCTCCTGTTCATTAGTCAGTAGCGCGTATCGTCGCTGGATTTCGTCCGTGCTATTCCTTGTGGGCGCTGCATTCTCAGTTTGCTTCTGTTTGGACAATGACAGCTTCTCAAGCTGCTCCTCGAGCTCCTTCACTGTGTTCCTCAGGCTATTCAGCGCCGCCTGTAGTCAGCATGTCAAAAGTTGATCACGCGTTAGTTCCAACTCGCATCACAGTTCCTCCAATCACACCATCACCCGACCTTGTTGCGGTGATAAGCGCGCTTGACCACCTCGCGGTGTCTCGCACGGCGCTCCATGGCGGAGAGTTTTCCCTTGGGCGAATCCTTTGCTGTCTGCTTCGTGGTGTGGCCCACGACGGGCGAGCCTGGCTGCACTTCCTGCGGCAGCGTTTGTGAAGCTGGCAAAGGCTCGATAGCGTCCTGCGTGCCCACGTCTTTGGGACCGTCGGGATCCGTCATCAGCAGAATGTCCAGCAGGGACTGGTCGTCGGCGCTCCAATGCGCAGACGCCATAGGTGCGTACTCTGGCGCAGCAACCTGCATGATCGTGCGAGGAAACTGAGTGATGAGAAAGGCAATTCCCATCCTTCACAACTAATTACCTTGTCGGAGAGGTACCGGTATGTATTAAGGCAGACTCGGTTTTGAAGCTCTCACGGTATCACCGGTGTCCTGCAATAATTGGTAAAATGTGACCCGGTATACTGGCTCTTTTGCAAAGCTGTCCTCTTTTTGGAATTAAGGATAAGTTATGGAAAATTCCAAAAGGTGACTCGATTTAAATATTACATTAGCCGAGCGCCGCCGCTTCGCAGCGGGGGATCATGCATGTATATTACCGTGTTACGCCTCCGTTCTGCTCGCCACGGGCTCGCTGCACTACTTGCATGGTTAGCTAACAAGTAGATGCTGGGGCGGGCCCTTCGGACCCGCAACATTGCATCCGGTGCCGTCATGGACCGCCTCGCTGCGCTCGGCAGCCAAGGAGAGTGCTCAAAAATCTGAGCGTTTCGTGTGACGGTCGAACAATGCTACTGTAGTTGATGTTTAGAACCGCCGCGTAGCGGCATGGCTTGTTGGGGAGAAGGTGCTCGCAGCTTGAAGTACTTCGCGTTGTTTGTGATTTTGGTTCTTCGAGGTTTCAGGTACCCTGGTTTCGTATTCTTGAATGACTTAACATACCGTAGTCTCGTGGGGCCCCATACGATATCGTGGTTTTATACGCTTCCGTTTCCCCGTACCGCTGATTGGACCCCATATTCTTCCTGGCTTCGTGGCTCCCTCCTCGCCCGTGGCTCATGCTGCTTAGGGGCTATGCGTTCTCTCTTTTTGGTTTCATGCTACTCCGTAGTACGACCCTCTTTAGGGGCTGCTAAATATTCCGTGTTCTCAAACGTTCAGGTGGGTTGCACGGGTTTTGTGGTCCACAATGTTACGTGGCAAAATCGTGATCTCAGAGTACATCTGTCGCCCGTGTCATCGTATTCTACCGTGGTATCGTGCTCCGCGATGTGGCTCACGCTCGCTCGAGAAATCTTTTCGTGGTTTCGTGACTGGTGCGCCACCCAAGACAGTGTTTTCTAATGTAGTATCGTCCTCGGTGGATCGGTGGGCTCAGGTTCTACACTGGTATCGTCCTCCATGGCTCAGCGATTTCCCGTCTATAGCTTCCGTGGCTGCGTGTTTTCCCATGGTTTAGCGGTTGGGCACCGTCCATGCTATCGTGTTATCTAGTGGTGTCGCGGTTGGTCTGTCGTCCGTTCTATCGTAAGCTACCTAAGTATCGACCTCCATGGATCGGTGGGCTCCGGTTATACCCTAGTATCGTGCTACAATGCTCGGCGATCTCCCGTTTATGGTCTCCACGGCTTCATGTTTTGTCTGTCGACCTTGCTCCGTACGCTACCGTGGTGCTACGGGAGAATTCCTTGCTGTGCACTCTACGTGTTCTGTCGTGGCTTTGAACGTGCGTGCTCTTCCGTGGCCCGTGCGTTTTAGCACATGGGATATAATTATTCTAAACCACACCGTAGTAGCAGAACAAGAAGCATGGCGCTGTTTCTCACAGCGAACCCCAGAGGAGCACCGTGTTGCTCTGTCGGCGACGGCGTACGTAGCACTGTCGTACGTGTGCCTCTCCAATGACTGTTAGCAGTTTATGAAGAGCTTCCTTACTCTGCGTCCGGCAGGTGGGGACAGTCTGCACATACAATGTGCGTGGCCGATGCACTTGGGTTACATATAAGCCGATTACCGTCCATGGGCTAGCTCTCCTCTCCGTGTTCGTATTCCAAACGAGCACGTCCGGTAGTCGATCGCTGGATGGACTACAAAGCGCTACCGCAGACGTGTTCCGTGTTGCTACAGCCTATACAAATCTTGGATGGTCGCGATCGATCCATTATTCCCGTTGTAGAGCCGGAGGTCAACTATGGCTGTGTGGTGTAAGGATTTACCAAAATATGTAGCGAGACTCGGCACACAGTAATTCACCTTCGTGAGAGTTGGCGAAAGTTGGGGCGTGCCTGAAGGAACCAAGTAAACCCCAGCACATTGAGCCGATGCTCCCTTTTCTTTCCGTCTACGCATATAGGCAAAATTCAACAAAAACAAGGCACCAGCTTTGCCTATACGTCCGCCCGCTCTCTCTCTTTCTCTCCAGTAACCCGGGGCACCAACTGCAAAAGGTTGCCTTGTCTCCTTATATCTTTAACGGGTGTGACGAAGTCACACAGCACCTTGCGCTAGAGGAAGTTGGCTTCCGAGAGTATACAAACTCTCAGTGAGCGGCAGTTCACAGGTCCCTTTTTACCTAAAGGGAGCGGGGTGACCAATTTAAGGTAGGTTGTAAGCTGAGTATATTTATAGGTAGGCTAAGCTTGAGTTAAATATGCAAACAATAATTCACCTATAGAAAAGCAATGTCATCAGCCAATGGTTGGCGTCGGACGACCTTGGTACCTTGTACCAAATATGCCGAAGTATGACGTGTCACACTTCATGTAACTAGGGTACACTTAGAGCTACGTACCCGTTACATCCTCCCCCACTTTACCGACCAATCAGAATGAAGAAGTGTACTTCACAAACTTTCATTCTCAAAGTCGAAATACATCGAATTGGCCGCGCGAGCGCGGCGGAGGCTCACTTCACCGTTAGAGACTCGAGCAGCAGTTTGAGCGCTCTTCTCCTTGGTTTCCACATCGACCGGTATCATGCCTCGTGGCACTGCGAAGAGCGGTGCGAAGGCACGCTCCAGGGCTGCTGACGAAAAGGCGCAAACCAAGAGCACTAAGCCTCACGGCAAAGGCTCGGCACTCCAGGAGGCTACTAAGGTGGCCTCCGAGGCGATCGGCTTAACTGGTGATGCGGCTGTGGGCAAGCGTACGAGCAAGCGCCGCAGTCCGTCATCCTCGGCCTCCCCAGACAGCCGTCCGAGCCCTCGGTTTGCTGAGCGTGAGCTCGACTCGGGCAGTGAGGACGAAGCCGAGTCCGGGAGCACTCACGATGCTCCTGTGGGCTTCGCGGGAGGGCACAGCCCAGTGCCCAGCGAGCACAAGGACGGCAACGTGCAGTCGCTCGCTAGTGATCACGGTGATCACAGGCCCAGGATCTCGGTACGCTTGGAGAGCCCGGACGTCAAGGTTAAGGACACTCCCAAAGCTGGTGACGATGAGGAGAAACCTCGTAAACGTCTCTCGATTGCCGAGGGCCTTGCGCGTGCTAAGGCCGATAAAGCCGAATGCGCCAAGCCCTCTAAGAAGCGTACGGCTCCGAATTCTCCACTCCGCGAGGAGAAGGAGACTGGGTACTCCAATCGGAACCTCTTCGGTTCCTCGGATGAAGAGGACGAAGAGGAAAACGAAGAGGAAGATGGCTCAACCGCTGAGCCCCGGGAGATCACTAAGGACCTCGACCAGCAGCAGGAGGACTTCCAATCTGCCCAACGTACGCGTGGTGGCACCCGTCAGCCAGGGAGCTGCCATCAACTCTAGAGGGTATTGGCCTCCCGAGGAAAGCTCTGGGGCTGACCCCTTTCTGGTTCTTGTCGCTCCTCGTGGCGTTGTTGGCGGCCACACCTCTAGGGGTGTTTACGAACGTACCCTGGTCCAGAAGGAGAAGTTGTTTGTCGACAACTTGGAGGCGGCTCGATGTGTGCTTCTCGCGCCGCGCCGAATCCCTCTTAAGAACTTCACGACTTGTCGTAAGACGCCCGAGAGCCGGGGTGGTCTCTACCCTCTCTGGGGCTACCCCTGGGTTCTTCCCGAGAACTGTGCCAACTGAAACTCATGTGAGGACATGTTTTGGGCTTGGGTGGAGTATCTCAAGTACTCCCCCCCTCGGAGTTACGGGAACACCATGAAGATCAGCAGCTGTCCCGCATCGTGGACCAGCGTGATCTTCGTGTCCGGTGTGCTCACTTGGTCAGCAAGCGCATGCTGCCAAGAGACATTCTGAAGCGCGCGGTCTCTAGCGCTCACGATGAGCGCGGGTACAGAGTGTCGTCAACGTCCGTACCGCGCTCGGGCAAGAAGCCGCGGACTTCTTATGAAGCTGCCGCCGCTTCTGTTCCCAGATTGCGACAGCCTCGGGCAGTCAATTAGGAGCCGTTCAATCGGTTCCCACGAGTTCTCGGAGTGGGCATAACCCCTCCACTTCAAAAGGAGCTGTCGCTTACCGCGACGCCGTTGCCCCTGGAGGATCCGCTTCACGTGGTAGTGGACTTCTCCATTCCGGTCAAGCTGGGGCGGAGGTGCCCTCGTACGAGTACGAGTACTCGGCGTCTCCCGAACGCTACTCTCGTCCGAGTGCCTCTCCTGTGGGCCCGACGCAGGGCCCTGAGGCTGACCGCCTCCGTCAACGCGTCCTCGTGCTTAAGATTGCACTTGGCATTGGGACTAGCGGTGATGCTGCTCACCAGGCCGCGAATCAGGGCGAGCTCGCTCGTTTTGCGGGCCACCTGGACCTGTTGGAGCGTGAGGTCGCGAGCCTGCATTCGCGGGTGGACCGGCGGGCCTCTTCGTCCGATCTGGACGAGGCCTTCCGCATGATCTGACGAATCGAGGCTCTGCTGCCACGTCCGGAGCCGGCTTCGGCGCACTCCCAGTCGTACGCGTATGGTGCGTACCCGACGTATTCGGCGTATGGCTCCGGGGTCCGTTCGTACAGGGACCCTTCTGCGTACGGTTTTGACCGTAGCCTTGCTGTTCAGACCGAGGCTTGGGTGCCTGCTCCGACGCCCTCGTCGACGTCTGTGGCCGGCTCTCGCTTTGAGGAGCTAGGCCAAGGTGGGTCTGCGAGTCAGCAACCCCCTGCGGATCATAGTAATGCTTAAGACGTCCAACGTAAAGCGTCGGATCCGTCGTCATTGACTTTGGCAGGTCGATGGTGTACGACGCACCCTGCCTGACCAGGACTGCGAATGGCCCGATGAAGCGGTGCTTCAGCTTGTTGCTGCCGACAGAGCTGACTGCGGTAGGCTCCTCGTGTCTAATAGCACTAAGTCCCCCACT